CTCTCGACATTGTTCGGGGTCAGATATCCGAGCCGCTGATTCTTCAGGTTGAGAAGTCGTTGCTGCAACGGTGTGGGCATGTATTGAGAATGCTTCCAGGAAAATTTGCGGAACAGGTACTACTTGCCAAACTGACCTGTGAAAGACCTCGAAATCGGCTAGGAACAATCTGAGGCACATGTATGGAAGGAATGTGGTCCAGACTCTACTCGTTTTTTGTCAAAGTTCAAACAGTGGCACAGGATCCAGAACGCTTGAGAAACGATCTGACGCGTCTGCCTCTCAGACCGGAAAGGAAAAGCGATTATCGAAACTAATGTGAATAAAGCTTTGCTAATTAACTCCGAATTACCATGTCATATTGATAACATGGAGCTAGCATAGCATAAATGGTCCCCTAATTAGGAACAAACGACAGTGCAGTAGGCCGTGAAATCTCGCTTTGGCGGAGTTATGCGCCAATATATATTTTTAAATTGTGTTATATTTTGTAGGCTCTGATATGACACCAGAGTACCATGCTATCCCTATCATTCACAGAGACGATTTGCTAGCTCTCTTAGACTGGTTGCACCAAACCACCAGGTAAATTCGTTGTTTAAAGGAATTAACAGTCAGTAAGAAAACGTTCAAGCCCCAAGTTCAGTTTGAAACCGGACCAGCAACGTGCAGAGCAGCATAATTACCCGCCATACAACTCGTCCATGCGTTTCCTTTAGAATACTAGCTTATTCAAAGAAGATTCTTTAAAATGAAACCGTTGTTTGCATTCTTTTGAAGCTGCTCGCTTACAGTAGTTTGGCCTGTTACTCTCCGCTTCTTGAAATATATCATGCATTTCAATATCATGCATTTCACAGTTGACTGAAATAACTGTTTTGTTCTGTTAGCTGTTGTCGGTGGTTTAAGTTAAATTTATTGGACTTCATAAGCACTTAATGTCTGCTCAATAAATAGAAAAAATTGCTTACGTATTATTTTTTTAAGATACGACATACTTGTGTGCAGTAAATTTCATCCTGATCAAAAATACAAGAAAAACAATTGTCAAAGCAGGTAACAACTGATTCAATACAGTCAAAGAGAAGACAAAAGAAAGCACTGAAAAAACTAGAAAGCTCTAAACAAGATCACGACAGAGAGTCAAGGAAACTGGATAAATCGCTGACGGGTCTGCTTTGTTGCTCACTCTGACGCAGAACCTGCTGCAACTTGCTGACGTTCCTTCCTTTCCTCCTCAATGGAGTGTGCATGAACGACTGTACCGGCGAACAAGCACTGAAGCACAGTGATAAACGTGTCTGATGCCAGACTACCTTGGAACCTGTTTCTGACGAAACACTGTCACTCAAGTCAAGCGACTTATTAGCTGTAGTCTTGCGAGACATTGGAGTTGAATGCTTCGGTTCATTGCTGGAGCCGGATTGCTTCTTCCAGCAGCTAATTTTGGTACTGTACTGACACAAAAGACAACGCACCTCCAAACAGCGCCCAAGTTTACGACGTTGGTGCAACAGGGAGGATTCGAAGCTGGAAAGAGTCGACGCTGGTTTTCGCAAGATTTTCTGCATTCGTTTGCGAGGTATAAACTTCGGCGCAAAGTTTAAATTGCAGTTAACTCCAGGAACTAGGCTGATTTTGCACTGATTGCAAAAATAACGAGCCCAGATTTTCGAAGTCACGTGAATAGAGTTTCTCGCAGCAAAGGCACAGTCGGACGCTAGCGGCAGACATTTATCCATGCAAAACATGGAACATTTCATGAGAAACTCAAAAGTTTGAAACCTCTGCTCCCCTTGATCATCGATGGGCGACATCTATGAAGACATATACATCAATCATCACCGTGCACTTTAGCAGTTAAAAGTAGAAAGCAGACTCGTCGTCCGATTTAAAAAAATCGGGAAATCGAGCAATTCTTTCAGAATGACCTCAAAGAGCATTCGACAATGAACTCGACACATCAATAGAGAATGGCTGATTATGACCTACAATCAGTTCGCAATTACAGAAGTTAACATAAACGATGGAACATGAAACAGCTTCTTGCGAAATTTCCTCAGCTTCTTTCGTCCTAATTTTGCCATCTCAACCTAAGCGAAGCACCTGACCGTAAGGAAGTTGCTGAAATGTCACCTAAATCCTATGCAAATAAGATGGGGCTAATATGTCAAAACGTCATTCAAACCAGGTAACCATTAACCATAATTCCTTATTGTCAGTGGCGACCTCCATGGCTAAGCTGGTGCCAATCACTCTGCCAGCCCGACACATCTAGAAATCACCGAATAAACGCAACCAGTGATGTTCGTCTTCAGCCACACAGGCCTTCGAGTTCATTACTAGCGCCTTCAAGGAACGTTATATCTGCACGAAAAGATTCACCAGATGACACGTTCTTCCTGTGATTAACGAAAAAGATATCTATCAAACTGACTGCATTTTGGGCAACACCCGTAGGTACATCTTTACCGTGTGATAGCGACCTGAACCGTGTCTCACTGTTGTATTATACGTTGAGGAAATAAAACGGTCAGTCATTAAGGACAATCATCAGCAGGAAGTGGAAATGACAACCTACAAGATGAGCGATGCATCGATTCTGAAATTGACAGGAAATACGACCAACCTATAAATCGCTATACCACGAGGAGATTCCTACGACAATGGACAAAAAATGACCCCATGAAGCAAATCAAGCTGCAGTGATGCCACTATTCTGCTAAAGGTACACATCTACCTGAGCATTCCAGATTCTGCGGTATGCAGCTGTTTTTTGTATCTCGGCAACAGTGATCGCAAAACAATTCTGCAATTACAGTCATGTATACAGGCACTACACTGGGAGCAGCGGTTCAGCGGATAGTTACCAGATTTGCAGCAGTGCCCCCAGTGCGAGACGCAAGCTTCTCTTATTAACTGCTAATTTCAGTGAACATGGAATGGGCTAAAGTGATTCGGTGCAACCGTAAAGAACGGGTAGCAAGTCCAGATGCAAACAGTAGGGACAGCATCGTACTTTTACATTATCATATCACAGCTTGAGGAACTTAGGACCATACTATCTAATGTTTGTGCTCGACGGCAACAATTCGCCTCGACCCAATGGACAGCTGAGTTAAAATCAGTACAAGGTGTAACTCCTAATTAAAGTGGCCTTCTCGTAAGCTTGATGAAGAACACTGCGCATACTCGGCATTTGATAACGTCCTTTCGATCGATCCTCAATTCGCTGTTAATTTAGCAAGATGCCGTATGATGAACTAACATACATGAACGGCAAGGCTCTAAGCAACAGATATATCATCGAACGATCATTGTCGAGTTTCACAATTACGAAGGACGCTTAACGAATCACTAAACCTCATCTGGAAATTTAATGGATGCTAGATCTCAGCAGAGCATAACTCGATAGAAGCTAGAACGGCACAGCTTCGAAGTCAACAAGTCTGACAGATTTTTGTATGCAGCAGCCATAGGATTATCTGAAATTACCAAGTGAAAAACAGTTCTGATAGTGAGAGGACTGCGAAGCTGTACCTCTATGTTGCGAGAGCGTTAATTCTCATAAACTAATGAACAGCAAAGCGTCACTCGCAAGAACCGAAAGCGACTATTGTTGTTTAAAGGCAAACAATGCTCCACCAATAGCTGAACATCGTATATGCAAAGATTACAGACTGGCCTGCAGTTGGTGTTAATTGCCTAGAATCACGCGGACCTGCATGCAGTCGCACAAACAAAACTGAACTTAGAGCTAAGCGAAGGTCAAGAATCTTAAGCAGCCTACGGTGTTGCAAAACGGCAAAAGACGATATGACAAAATTATAAACAGCGACAGCACGAGAACATGACTAACAGTCCTTACAGGTTTGCAACCTCCAAGCTTCTTGTGTAGCTCCCCTAATATAACTCGACTGACAAATCAACTTTCACATCCCATTTTACTGCCCGTGCCTCGAGTTTAAAAATGTTCACGACTAAAAGTCGCGAAGTCAGGAAGAACGTGAGGTTCCAATTGCCCTTACACATACGTTTGGTGAAAAAAGTATCTCATGAAGTGGACGTGTTCACTCGAGAAAATGTCAACGCGGAGATAAACGAATTTGACACTTTTGTACATCAAGCCCATAAATAACGCACAACAATCGGACAGATATCACAAAAATTAGCTGACTTTTCGAAAAGGAGCCGAAAATATCAGGAATCCATGGATCAAAGAAAAGCACAAAAACCGGCTATTTTCGAGTTTCAAAACCAAAAGCCCAATATCACCACCATTTGTTTTCCATAAAAGCGAATCTACTGTGTCTCATTTCAGCTCATTAACCATAAGACAACTTCTAATTCAATGAAACGTGCTTTCAACCTTAGAGCCTGAGCCATGAAAAGCGGGAAACGACCAAAGTACAAGGTCTTAACGAACAAAGTACGGTGGAGTCTCTACTACTACCGGCCATGCTGTCATCTCTCAGACGAGGAGATCTTACACCATGAAATACACCCTACTAATGAGCGTGATTGCCCCACAAATCGAACATCGACGACCATATAAGCTAGCAAGAAACTGTCTGATAAATGCAAACCAAGGTATTCGTTGGAATTTTGAAAACACGATAAAGACGAGATATCCGTAAATTTTTATTTCTGAACGATCATGATGGACACAGATTCTTTAACAACATCGCAACTGAAATGATGCAGAAGATTAGCAATAGCCTGTCTCCTCAAATAATGCGCAACAACTTTTTCTAATGCCATAAAAACAGTCATTAACGAACAGTCTTTAGCAAAAGAACAAAATAGCATAATAAAACCGTCATTACGAGCTGAAGATCGGTAAGAAAATAGGAAAGACGGACAGAGCAGAAATAAGAGAATCAACGTTTCACTGTTCTTTCTTTTCCAGCTTCCCCTGGTGTGCCTGGAGCACAGAGACTGCTTCGTCAGTCTAAAAGCAGAGAATTTTATGCAAGTGAATTACAGAGAAATAAACTCTGTTAACCGACCTTTGCCTTCAACAGCTCGGCATTTTCCAACATCATTAGCAGTTCACTATTGTCCATTTCCAACAGCATGCCGGTAATCTTACCGGCAAGGTCGGGGTACATCTGCGAGATAAGAGGAAACAGCCTCTCACCAAGCATCTGTTTCTGTTCCTGGGGTAGGGCCGCTGCGAGCATGGTAGTTGTTAGGGGTTCTTGGCCATGAATAACTATTGACTGCTGGGGCGGAATCTGTAAAGCAAATCATCGCTTGACAGTGGTTTCAGAACCAAACACAAAAAACTTTACCTGCGACTGATTCATGGTCTGTTGATACTGTGGAGCCTGCTGCGGCATGTTCCGGGTGTTCGGTGTATATTTGAAACCTTGCTGAGACGCTGGACCAGGCTGAACGCCTGCACGCTGTTGCTGGGCAATCAACGCAGAAGACGTCTGCGTTAATCCCTGGCGCTGAACCGGCTGACCGACGCCTAG